CGACAAAGAGTCGTCTCGATGATGTCGCTGACGTCAGGTATCTGTTGCCGCTCCGTTACGAGAGAACGACTGGTGCAGACACCAAGTGGTCCCCGCCTGTGTTTCCATCTCGGAAGGTTGCACGAAAGTTCGCGTCGTATTTGACACCCCTCGGTGATAACTGCAGACAGTAAACTGAAAATGAGGGGGGGGGGGGGGGGAGGCGCGTTTCGTACTCAGCATCTCTTTCTCCCTCTATCCCTCTCTCGTTTTGGCTTTCTCTCTCTTCTTTGCCGTTTGGTTGTCTTGTTTCTTTCATGCAAGCCTCCTTCCTGGCGTCTTTAGCAGTGAGCCCCGTTATGAGAGCTCGGTCATAAGGGCAGAAAAGCGTGGCTTGCTGTTATACGGCCACGGCGGGCAGCCGAGCGAGGCGTCAGAATCTGCGTTTTGTTTTACAGAGGGCTTTTGGCGCTGCCGCGGCAATCTGTGCAGCAGTGAAGTTGAATGTTGCGAACTTGACGACCTGCCGTTAGAAGTGTCGTTGTCCTCAATAAACGGCACCGCGAAGGACGCAAAAGTGCACCGCGACTAATGAATCGAATCCGCTACGCGCTGGCATTTTGAATGTAGGTTTATACGCGTGGTCACCGCGTCTCATTTATTAGTCGCCGATTTTCACACGATATTTATTCCTGTCGTAAATCGCCTTTTCGAAAGTGACATTGCTTATTTGAGCTCGTTAAAAGCGTGCAGCGAAATCTACGTTATCGCCCTTATAATCATAATTTATTACCACTAGAAGAAGGACGAACACCTCTGCGTAGAAGTGTGTAATTAAGCTCGTATTAAATGATATCACCGCGTACTCCACCCATCTACAAATATCACGAAATCAGCTAACCGTACGCTCATTCTTCACTGGCCTCTGGAGTTAGCTAATCCATAGTTTGATAACTCTGCCCAGATAAATGTCCTAACACTTCAAAGAATAAGAAAGAGAAAGACAGCACGCTGCGGCAAACAAAAGCATAGGAGAAACAAAAGCCTTCAACTGATGAACCATCTGAAACAAATTAGGGCAAATATTGGTGACTTTTCGCAATAATCTAAAGGAAAATATCGCCAACATACGTTCACTCCCTCAGTTAAAGTGTAGCTATTCTATGATTTTTCCTTCCGTATATGGTCGTCCTGTTCGTGCTAACTTTTCATACCTTTCAAATTTATTGCAGTAGCATTATGTGGGAAAATAGAATGATTGCAAACTTCTTTCTTCCGAGCATGGTGGTTACCTACGATATATTTCACTGTATAGCTTTTGTTGAAGTAAGGAAGAGCTTAGCCAAAGCATCTTCCCTATTCCTCAGACCCAGTGCACAGCCGCTAAAGTGTGGCGCGTTTTTAATACAATTACTAAAATTCATCTATGAAGCCCCGTCTTATATGCACGCATTAAAGGAACGGTGCCGATAGCAAATGAAGTGCAGCTGTCTGGGCGACACCATCTTCAACGCCTCGTGGCAGCTGTTACATCATTAGCTTATCTACGCTGCCACACCATCCGAAAGCGGTTAGAGTCGTTTATAAGCCTGGCTGCTCCTCCAGAAGCACCCGCTGCCTGAATACCCCGCGTGTCGTTTCTCTGCTTTCCTGCACTCGGCGAATCAAGAGGCGGCACTCTTGAATTCATGAGCTTAACTGACGCGGCTGGATTCTACCAGCGAAAGTGAGAAGTCCTTGGCTGATAAAGTCGACATGGACTTTCCCTTTCTCTCTGTCTCTCGCAGTTGCACAGAGGCACATAATCAGTGTGAGAATAAAAGGAACTGTCCGGCTTATATGAGGGACTTTTCGTGCGGCATGCCAGCGCGAAGACAGGTGACGACGTGCGCCACTGACCGCCAGTCCTTATCAGCGAGATAGCGCGGAAACCGCCCGTCGGTCAGTCTCTTCCGGCTTCGAGAGAGTGATGATACAGAAACACCCTAAATATATCTAAAAAGAGAGAAAAAAAAGAAGACTAGAATGGGCGGAAACCTCCACGTCGCTCTTCTTGCGGCACAAGCAACCCCTCTATTGAGCCTCGGCAGTAGCATCATTACCAGCCCTCGCCTGTCATCGCGAGCGGGTGGTGTTGGCCCTGCCCAAAACTCGGGTCTTTACAGGAACCCAAAAACCTTCTTGCCGCTTGCGCGCCACCATAATGGTGCTACCCCGCGCTCACGCGGACACGCTATCTGCGGTTTATTCATGATTGCTCTTGGTCCGGCCGTGGCCGTCTTATCGTGCCAGCGGGCTCCACTCTTGGTCTTCATTTCCGGAGAATCGCCGCTCGCCGGCTTCGGTGCCCTCATCACCTTCCTCCTTCTTTTCTTCCTCTTTGCGCGCTTCGACGCAGCGTCCAAACCTCCCACTCTCCTTCTTCGCAGCGTAGCTTCGTCTCCTTTCCTCGTTGAAATTTAATGAACCTCCCGAACGGCGGCCTCTTCAACAGTCTCTCCTCTCTCCCCCCTTAGCGTGTTGCCGCAACCGCGATAAGGGACGTAGTCTAACGGCGAAACCGATACAAGCCGGGCGTACACTACAAAGAGTACCGGCTTCTAGCTTTACTACCATATCTGGTGCGCCTAAGCGGTGAATCGCAAGCGAAAGCGCCTAACGCATGCTTTTAAGCCACTTCCAGCCTCATCCTACTCATCATCCTTGTCTTCTCTCGTTTTCTTTTTTTTTTTGCAGACATTTCTCACACACTTGCGGTAGCGAAAATGTCGTCAAGCGGTAGTGACGTAGCCTGCCCTTCGTAGCACCGGGAGTACACGGTCAGACGACTCACTCGCTTCATCATGTCTCCAAACAACACAAAAGAAGATGGAGAAGCGAGCGGCGCTGACTTTGTCGTCGGCGCTGCCACTCCGCGACAGCAGGTGGCGTTAGTGGCGGTGCTACATTGGCTCCCTATCTCGTCCCCAGCGCTGTTCACACTCGGACGAGTGATAGATTGGTGCCTCATGAAAGAAGAGACCCAAAAAGTGCGCCGAGCGTGGCGAAAAATGTTTAGCGCCCCATGGTAGCTAACGTCGTTCGCACTAGCTTCACACTCCTATAACATCACGCCTTTCCCCTTCTCCACCCGACCGCAGCTTCTTTCCGGTATGTTGACATCGTGCCGGCCCACCTTTCTTTCGCGGTCGTTTGCGTTGCCGCCACTGATAGCCCTGTTTATTTCTTGCATCGCGCACGCCCACTTTTCCCAAATTCTAGTCATTTCTACTCAAAACATATAATAACCGTGAGGAGTACGAAGCATTATCCTGAAAAACGAAAAGTATAGGTATATATATTTGAGCACGAAAGCAAAAGTTCCGAAACTATCTTCACCACCCCTCCCCTCTTCCCCCGGGCCGTCTCGCAATAAAAGTGTAGCTTATCTCAAAGTCCTTCAGAGAACATCGAGAACTTTTAGTTCCACAGTATGCGTGAAACCTCGAAGGTGATAAGCGTTCCCTATCAGATGATTAATGTGGTGCGCATAAACATTGTTGAAGAAGCTTCAATGCAATATGTATGCCAACATCGTCAGTAGATCTAACCACACGTACTGCTAATAGGGAAACACACATTCAAGTAATGAAATGTCTTCAGCTATGTAGCCAAGAGTTCGTCGTGGCTGGAACAACTGCGGCCATTTTTGAAAGAACAAGCACGATTTCTCACTTTTAATTGTTCGCAAGCAGCTGAAGTATATCAACAAAGTTATAGGGCGAGATATTAAAAAACTTTAAACCTTTTCCAGTGTAACAAAGCCGAGGAGTTACGCATGCGTAACTTGAGTGACTTCAGAACGCTTTTTCGTAACTGAGAGATAAGTTCAGAGTACTTTACTATCAACGACATTCAATATTCGATGAAAATGACACATTTGTCTGAAGGGTTCTTCAAAAACTGATCCGAAGAATTTCTTCAGGCACCCAAAATGAGCGCTGAACCATGGCATGTGACATTTTCAACATTCAGTTAGGATAAGAATTATAGTAATACATGAATTCTTTGTGAAGCTGAAAGCTATGTCTTGTTACACATTCAGCCATTCCGCCTTTTGACACGGCACCGCAGAAAGCGGCTGGAAATTAACGTTATTCGGTTTCTTGCCTAATGTACTAAATTGAACATCAAGGCTCGCCACTAGGATGGTAGGACGAATGTTTTTTGATAAAACCGACATGAATATTTCATACCAAGTATCATGAAACCACGGTATGAAATATCAGCCTGTTCCACATGGTGAATGCTTTGCTGGATTCTGAGCTTACAAATAAATTTTAAATCAAATAAAAAGATCAATGGCTTCAGAAACAAAATTTTTGTTCGCTACGAGGATGAGCAATATAGTGGTTCATCGGGCTGTCTATTTATTTATTTATTTTTATTTATCTATTTGCTTACCTATTCATTTATTCATTCAAATATTCTTCCAATAGCAAAGCGATCATTGCAATGTAGCTAACACAATATGCACAGAAACAATGTCCGGCAACGTAAATACATTTGGATCAGCAAATAGCTGAAATGAAAGTGCAAGAAAGCGCTAGCTGTCCACCTCGGCGGTACAGTGGCTACGGTGCTTGGTGGCTGACCCGAACGAAGGTCATAGGTTCGACCCCAGCCGCGGCTGTCGCATTTCAATGAAGGTGCAACGCCATAACACCGAGTGCTTAGATTTAGGTGCACATTAAAGAACATCGGATGGTCCGAAATTTTCAGAGCCGTCAGCTGCCCCATCAATCATGACCATGTCGTAGTTTCGGCACGTAAAACCCCATATATTATTATTGTCCCCAGTATTATTATTAATCTAAATAGAATCGTTCCTCATGTTTGCAGGACCCAAGAAGATGAAGACGACTAGCTCGTCTCGACGGGGTGCCGCTGGGGGCGGAGGAGGCGGAGGGGGAGGAGCGGGGGGCAACGGCGGCGCCCCCAATCACCTGGGACCAGGCGGCGGTCCCGGGCCCCACCCAGCCATGTCCGGTTCCATGCCGGGTCCCGAGTGCGCGGGCTGTCAAAAGCCCATTCGCGAGCGGTTCCTGCTCAAGGCGCTGGACCAGCTGTGGCACGAGGACTGCCTCAAGTGCGCCTGCTGCGACTGCCGCCTCGGAGAGGTCGGCTCCACCCTCTTCACAAAGGCCAACCTCATTCTCTGCAAGAGGGACTACCTCAGGTGAGCGCTATAACAATATTTTAAGGGCGGCACGAATCTTATAGACAGGGGTAAGGACCATTGATAGTCTTGCACTAAGAATATACGTCCTTCTCCGCACGTGACCAGCGCTGTGGCCGCTATTGGTTCAAGAAAACCAGCAGTCCAAAGAACAGGAACAAACGTGAATAGTGGAACGTACCTTACGTAACTGGGGTGGCCTGCAAGAGCGTATATTAAACGTGCATTCAATATACTCATTCAGGACATGTGAAGGCTTGGGCACAATGTTCACGGGACCCGTAAGCACATCCATCGCACATCACTTACGGAGAAGATTCACTGTCATCCTACACTAATTCATTTCAACCACTGACATGGATAATAAAACGTACGTCGATGCCATCGATAATAAAACACAGCGTTGATGCGAAGGAAGTTGGGTTCTTTAAGTGTTTCCACCACGTAGGTAATTTTGCAGTTCGTACAAATATTCTGTTTACGTCATTTTCCCGTGTGTATATTTTCCCTTTAGGAAGTACCCTACATTACGATGAATTTCTATTTTCTTCATGTGTAGGCCCAACAGATTGAGAAAATGGTGTCTTGTACAAATGCTCGAACTCAACCACGAAATGATGTGAACGGGTCTCAGAAGCTGTGTACCATTACCACCACACGAACCGTTGCTGAGGAGGAAAGAGATGGGATCCAAATAGTTCTCAGTGCACCTATCGATAAAGAACGCACACCAATGCGTATACATCATTTTCCCCTCCCGCTCGCATTATCTCCGCAGAGCACCGGACGCGAATGTAGAAAAAGTACACCGGGAAATTAAGAGACCAATACTGCCCAAGGCAGCCGCCACTGACGGCACAATGGATTCCATGGGCAATCGAGCCCCTATCCTTTCCCAGCCGCGCGTCACTCGCTGCAGTACGCATACGGATCGAACAGTGCAACCCGTTCGCGGAGTCGGTCACGACCGCCCGTTCCTATATACACAGTGATACAGTTGGGGTCGGGATAGGATAGCGATCTGGATGGGGGCCCCGTTAGCTCGCGTTAAATGGGCTATGATGGTCGCGGGGACCCCCGCTGCCTTTCTTACAGTCTCCCTAGAAGCTGACCTTCTCTCCCGTTGATGTCTTAGTGAGCGCACTGCTAGGGTGAAGGTCTCGTCGAAAGGAGGGAGGGAGAAAGAAATCGCCCGCGTGCGCGCGTGAGCGCGTGCGTTATCTCTTCGGTCACGCAGCCCCGGTCAGGGATAGACCCCGCGAATTAACTCGTAAGCGGGACCGCACCGACCGACTCGGGAGAGTCCAACCCCCTCCGAGTATGTGGCAGCACACCGATGGCTTCTTCCAACGTCCTAGAAAGACGCCGTCAAGGGTTACCCCCTTCCGCCCGGCGCTGAAGGCGTCGAAGATACACGGGAGCGCGAGAGGAGAGGAGAGCAAGTCGGAGTAGATGGGGTGGTTGAGACCGTGGCTTACGTCGTCGCTGCGACGCGTCCGTTCGAGTCACTGGGCCGCGGGATTGAGTTTCTCCAGTGTCTCGGTGCGTGATGCCGTTTAGTCCCCGGGTCGTAGTCCCCGCTGCATAGCTCAAGGCTGCGCTGTGGCGTTCGTCATTAGCCGCCCGCCGGCCTCCACGCAAGACGCGAGCTTCTCCGAATGACCCCCACCTCCCCCAACACTGCAGCTCCGCGCAAGCTCTGCGCGCTATTTAAACGGGCAACCGACATTGGCCTGCTCCTCTCCGTCGAGTTTGTGGAGGTGCCCTATTTACCGCTTTCCTAACGGGCATTAAGTGGGGTGGCTCCCACATTCTTCCTTCTCGACTTGGTACCGAGAACGCGTCTGCCTGCCTTGTTCCGCTGGTGCGAATGCATTTGGTGGGCGTTAATGACTTCCGAGAAATGCCCAATTTAAGTGAGGCAATCTTAATTGTGTTGGAGTGTAAACATACAAATCTACTTGAGGCGCCGACTGTCTTGAGAAAACTTTGAAATGGAATGAAAAAAGGATAGGTGAGAGGGACAGCTAAGTTCTGAAACAGAACAAGGCTATTCTCTCGAAAACGTGATGACACGCTCATTTCAGTGCAAGTACAGAAAAACAGAAAATACACACAAAAAGATGTACCGTTAAGTCACAGATACGGTGAAATGACGTCGTTAGATATACTGGTGTGCTTGAAGTTGTGCAACACCATAAGTCGAGTTCTTACGGTCTTGCAGCTAAAACAAAAGTGGAAAATGAGGCAAATTCCTAATAGGGGTGCCTTGCGAGCTTCTCTTGCAAATTTTCCCCCTGAGAAGTTTACGTTATTCGACGCAGCAATTCACTTGGTGGAAATGCGTGGATTTTGCAATTCATTGTCTCCGAGGAACATAATCAACATGCGTAGAACCCCTGGCTTCTTATATTGTACATTACTATATATCTAAAAACAACTCATGTTGTTTCGTTCTAAGTAATGAGCTAAGTTCTAATTTGTTGAACGTTAGTCACGTGAGTTTTGTCGTAGACGTGCTATTTCAGTTGGAAACTAAGAGGATATTCGATTGAGAAATCTCGTTACGAGTTCGGGCATTTCAGGCCACAGAATGTGCTCTCCATACATACGTGCGCGTTAAGAAATGAGAAAGTGCGAATTTGGGAAAACAGACAAACACACACACGAAAATCGCCGTGAGAGGCAGCAGGGTGGACATCAGAGACGAAAGAGTGGTTCGAAATGACCGAAGCCAAACGGCGCGCATAGAGCAGAGTTCTCGGTGCTTGACGGCGTAACACGCTCCAGTAGCGCACACCAGAAAGCCACCACCGGCAGCGAATCACCCCCTTGCAACGCGTGTGTCTCCGCCGTTGCTTTCTCTTCTTGCGAATATATAGCCATCGCTACCGAGTCGTACTACTCGTGCGCATCGGGAAAAAAAAAAGAAGACAGCACCGGTCAGAAGTCGTTAGAAGCCATTAATGGACCATTGGAGACGTCTCCCGGAGCTCCTCCTAAACCGGCCATAAAGATAACAAGAAACAGACACGGCCGCTTTTCTAGAACGGAGAAGGGTGGCGGGCAGTCAGTCGGCTTGGAAGCCGCCGTTTCCGCTGATGCGGCCGCCGTACGCGTCGGCAAACCGCCGCGTGTGCAGCGCGCTCACGCGGCATCGAGCCTTAATTCTTCTTTGTGGGCCGCTCTTCTGCCGCGGTCTGGCCGGCCGTCTTGCGCCAGGAATGCACCGTGATCAGCAAGGGAAATCGTTTCGGCCATTACCCACGCGTGCTCTGGATAGCCGCAGCTGCCGTGGATTGAACGAAACGGCCGCGACTGCTTCTTCCTTCTTTTATTCTTGGGACCCACGTCTCTCTCTCTTTCTCTCCATCCGTACTTGTTCTCTCCACCACCGCACGCGCAGGCAATACCGTCGTAGCCCTCACCCGCCTGCTACCCGTCAGGACGGCGGTTCATTCGCTTAACTCTTCTGGTCTATTTTTATTCGCGGCCAGCGATACGCTTTCTTTTTTCCATTACGTCTTCTTTTTGCCCTTCTGCTTCGGGAATCACACCCGCGCGCTACTGCGTGCGAGGTTCGGGGAGACCGACTCATGGGCGCACGCGCGCGTTTGGACGTTAAGACTTACGCAGTTCGGCGTTAGCTCGAACGCTCGCGGCAGTGGTCTCCGGCCATTAGGGGCCCTATACGAATCTGCGCCATTACGACCTTTCTCTCCTCGCCCGTTGCACGCTGCCCCATCTACTTGCGACGACCACGGCTGCTAAGCAAAGCAGGAGGCAGCATCACCCGCGAGCGAAGTGGCTCGAAACGAGAAGAAGAACTTTACGCCGGAAACATTTCGGGCTCGAGTACATGACTGTATAGCGGCGCGCGCGCGCTGGGTAGAAACTTCCGGCCCACTTGGTTTAACGGCGCGAAATTGGTCGTCTCGAGCGGTACTGGGACGACTACCGGTTACAGTGGCACGAAAACGTATACGCGAAAGAAGCGCACGAAAACGGCCCCGCTACGGCCGTGCGGGTGTTATGGAGCAAAGTCGTTACACCAAATCACCCCTGGAAGCGTGATTCGGCACTTCTTGCCTCTGCGTTGGCTGTAGAATAAAAAAGCGAACGGCGATCGCAACGAGCTTTTAGAGCAGCGTGTGTTCTTAATTGGGGAGTCTGGTCTACGGCATCGATGGCGCGCGAAACAAACTCGCTTGATGTGCGGGGCGATCTTCGTTCTTATTTTATAATAATAGAGTGCGACCGTAGCTGGAGAAAGTGCAGCGCAACTTAAAATGGTGCTGTCTAGTCTGCACGTGCAACTCCTGAAGCCTAGGCTAGATAAACTTGAGTGAAAAGCTTGTAGAGTTCTAGCGCATTTATCGTTGAAGCATCGATAAATATTAGTCTCACAATCATATAGCGCAAGCGTTGAGGACTTTGTAACCCATGTCGATCTGGACAGATCCAAAAGTTTAACGTCTGATCAAAGCCTACAGTGAAAAGTGCATACTATAACAAGTAAGTTGGCAAGACGTACAAAACTATTTTTGCTAATACTACGCGACGCACCCTTGATGCAGTGATTTTCATCTGAGCTTTGTAACGAGTGCTGCAGCCATTTGCCAGGTAGCTGAATATTTTATATTCGTTTGTCCGAAAGGGAGAGAAAGATTACGGTGCACCAACTATTTTTAATTATTTCATAGGTGCGGTCATCTTCATATTTCACCCAAATGATTTCTCAGATTTAGACCGAATGGCGTGAAATTAGCACGATAATCAAACTTCGAATGCATGATTTCGTATTGACTCTCGCATTCCCTGTTTAAGAAGTGTCCTAGTTAAGGCTTGTCGCATCTAAACAAATAACGAGGGAAAACTGGCTGAATATAGATAGGAACCTACTTGGTATTTGGTCATCCGTCAGCTTTCGCTAACAATGTTGTGCTTGTGCATCAGGACTGAACTTGCTGAATATAGAATCCTACATGATATTTGGTCAT